CCCCCGTGGCCCCCCATTTTCAATGTTGGGCTCGAAACAAACCCTCCTTCCATACCGAAACATTTCCGCCAACAACATTGTTAACCAACATTGACTGTGGGGGGAGGGGGAGGCTTTGAGTAAGCATTAAAACAGCCCATAAGAGAGCGCATCTGCTAGAACGCAGTAATAGCGTTCTGTCCAATTCAGTTTTGTCTAGGATTGTAGCTCTGTCTTCAAATGCTCTTTGTACATTTTATGCTTAGACCAGTACTCTTTCTTTCTGTCGCATCTAAAAGACTCCTCTCCTTGTCGTTGCCTTTCCACAAACAATTGCTTGATCTTTCACAGAGCACCATGATAGTAAAGCTAAGTAGTGAGCTGTGTCGTCATTCAATYCATGAGGATAGAGGACTTTGAAAGCTAGGTCAAGTATAGCGGAAGGGAGGAACAACATTGGTGTTGCTTCAATATGAGCCACATTTAGATTTTGAATTTTTCTAATGGCATGTAGCTTAATTCACCATTGTTATCATACCATCTGATGAAAACGCGAATGGGCTGAAATTCAAACTCAAGATCGCGTTCTTTTACTGATATCTGGGTTGTAGATGACTCGTGAAYACTTGTCATTCCAGCAGGTTTGCTTGCCATCACAGTGCTAGGTGTTAGTTAACAGTGATAGTCTTCCCTGTAGCTGCCTTAAAAATTGTAGTCCAGACTTGATATGTTCTGTCATACCTGTGATGTAGAGCATGGTGTATACTCGCTGTCATCTTCATCCTTTCTACTCTAGGTTTTGCTTAWGAATGCTAAGAGCTTTTCCTCATTTTGAAACACAAACTCACCTTTGTTCTTTTTTTTTTTCACAACAACACAAGGGTCTCCACCATATGTTGTGTTCCCAATGGACTTCTGAACCTCCCCCGCTACATGCTGCATATTAGCTTTGTATTTGCTGTCACCATTGCTGTACTCAGTTTAAATTCCCCGGCTAGTRAAAWTTTTATTTGTGAAGGCAACATTGTAAACAGCGTGAACTCGTTCTACAGGGTTGTTTCSTATGGTATTCAGACAGACTTTTAAATGCTCCATTTCAATGTATTCTTGACAAGGCATCTGCACAGGTGTTGTCTTTTCCCTTTATGTGCTTGATAATGAGGTTSTATTCCTGYAGTGCGATTGACCATCTCAATAGGCGTTGGTTTCTGTTCTTCAYCTTGTTGATGAACGTTAGTGGATTATGGTCTGTGTAAACTTTAACATCGGTCGCTGTACTGTCGATGTAGACTTTGAAGTGTTGTAGGGACATTATCAGAGCTAGGCATTCATTTTCTATTGTAGAGTAGTTCTTCTGTGATGTGTTGAACTTCTTTGAGTAGTAGCTAACTGGATGCTCAATTCCAACATCATCTTCCTGTAATAGAACACTTCCTTACCCAAAATTGAGCATTAGTTGARTGGTTTACTGAAGTTACGTGCTGCTACAACTGGAGGACTGATGAGCATAGCTTTGAGATTCTGAAAGGCGTTTTGGCACTTTTCACTCCAGAGGAATGGGACATCTTTTTGCGTCAAAGCAGTCAGCGGTAGGGCGATATCTGAGAAGTTCTTGCAAAACTTGCGCTAATATCCCATCATTCCTAGGAAACGCTGAAGTTCCCTCTTATTATTAGGCTCTGGGAAGTTGAGTACCGCTTCTGTTTTTGCCTTCACAGGTCTAACTTTTCCATGACCAACTTCATGACRTAAATAGGTGATGGTGGCTTTTTGAAAATCCGACTTTGCAAGGTTGACAGTTAAATTTGCTTCTGCAAGGCTCTTAAATAGTTGGCTTAAACCCTGTAGGTGTTCCTTCCTACTGCAGTGATACTTTATAATATCGTCAATGTAAGATGAGCAATTGGGTATACCTGCTGTTACAGTGTTCATGAGCCTTTGGAATGTTGCCGGTGCATTCTTTAACCCGAACGGCATCATTCTGTATTGAAASAGGTCTTGGGGCGTAACCATCGCTGATATTTCGTTCGCTCTGTCCGTCAAGGGTACCTCCCAATAACGAAATATTGTAGTCTTACACTTCCTACTTTTTCCATCTCTTCTTCTTTAACAACGGCCAGTACTTCCTTTCCCTGTAAAGAACTAGATAACCCAGTCTCTTCCTCCCCCCCTCTCGTAAAATTGCTTTAGCAAATTAATGTGGCATAGTCTACTAGTCTTACGACTATCAGGAGTGTTTATGACGTAATCAGTATCATTTATCTTCTTTGTAACTCTATAAGGTCCATAGTACCTTGCATTAAGGCAGTTATCTGTAACAGGTAATAATACAAGTACCTTGTCTCCTTTTGTGAAATTATGCTGTTTGGATTTTCGATCGTAGCGGGTCTTCATGCATTCTTGTACAACCCCTCTGGCYCCAAATAGCAAAAACGGAACACCCTCGTCCCAGTCTTTCTCATTTTCATAACAATATGTTCTCATCATGTTTTAGACTGGAACCCAAATTGGAAAAAATGATTTTCGCTAAACATTTTGAGTAGAAGCAGCCAACTAGGCTTTTTTACTTTAAAAAGTAATCACCTTACGGTCCTTTTCAAGAATTGTGATGTTGGCAATTCTAACTTTGCCTTTTAAGCGAGTTATACGGGCGAACATGGAAACGAGGCTGAATCTCAAATCTTTTTAAAACAAGTGAAAATATGCATGAATTGCTTTAAAATTCAACAATATTCAAGACAAAGTAACAATACATGTGTAGAGAATGTTTAGGTGACCAAATAAGTGGTCACGTGATCATTTGTCATGTGACCTCATAAATAAAATATAAAATAATAATTTAAATGTAAAATGCAAATTTAGAAAGTCATTACCAGCTGGAAAACAAATTAATATTGATGTTTAATTAAAATTTATGATAAAAAATTTCTCGAAGATATTTAACTGGGGATGCAGGAATTTGCAATAATGTATATACATATTTGGGATCCCTGTGGTAAAATCAAATAGCAGTAAAATAAGGATTTTGATATAAAAATAACACTAAAATGATAGTTATATTTCACAAATTAAAACAGTGATTACTTCATTTCCTTTTTA